TGGATTGATCTTTATATACATAAAAAATTTAATAAAAGACAATCAAAAGAAAAGGATCGCCAATTGATTAAAAGTAAATATTTTTTAAATATTTATCTCATTACTATACAACGATTTTCATACTATTGAATAGACTTTTATTTTGATAAGTCTAATTTACTGTATATGACACTGTGCTTCTTAATCACAAGAAAATGCCATTTTAAAATTTGTATTCAGGTGATGCAATACTTTTGAGCGCCACTGTATATAGTCACATTATTACGTGACAAATCAGTCAATAACATTCAATTATTATAATAAATCATGTAAAACTACTTTATTTTAAACTTTATTAAATTTTTACAAAGATAGATGGTCCTACTCGATTCGGTCTAAGCTTATCCTGGAAAAAAAATGAGAATATTAGAAATTTAGAAATATTAAAGGAACGAAAGAAGAAATGAAAGAAAAAATGAAATAAGTGTCTAGAATCTAGAACTGAAAGGGATCTAAAAAGATGAGAAATATTAGTATAATTACATTAAGTTGATCGGAGGTATATTACATGTCATTTTTTGTATAAGCACACCTCTATACAATCACATCATTAGGGGTGTGATTGTAGAGAGGGTTGACTGATATGAAATTGAAATTGATCGAAAAAGATCGTAGAATTAAAATGATCTTTTGGAATTAAATCTCATTTTAACAAGCATATCTAAGGTTGGCGGGCAAAACCCGGAGGTTTCGTCAGGCATTGACTTGCCAAAATGGGATTTGGGTTTTGCCTCGCATATCATATTAAACAAATGGAATAAGCATATCCAACATCATTCGGCATTACCTTTATTTAGAGATATTTAATAATTTGATTCCGATTTATTCATACACAGATTAATATTTTATCATATACCAATATAATTGAATTTCAAAATCCCACAAATGTTTATTAGATGAATGAAATCTTTACTGTGGATTAGAAAGAAATAATGGAAAAAAGAGAATTGGATTAAGATAAATATTGAAAAATCTAACATTACCAAATTTAATCAAAAATGGCATAGATATAGAACGCATTTTACTAATTATAAAATTTTTAAGTAAAAGAAGAATGCGTCTTTCTGAAAAATCAATTTAATGCTTACTTCTAATCAAAAAAATAATTTTTTTTTTTTTACGAATTATTTTTATCCACATATTAACACATGTTTGATTTATTTGCACATACATATTTTGAGATTTACCACCTGGACACCCTACTCATGTGATACTTAAAATTTTATGTGCACCAAAACAGCATTTATTATCTGCAAGCAATTTCAATTGATCTAATCGTATTAGGCATAATTACGGTTCTTGGGATCCATGGACCCCGACCAAAAAGTTGTGACACAATGATATAAACGTTACGTTGAATTAAAAATCTCTCAAGTTTCAATTAATCATTTTTCTTGTTTTCGTTTATTCTCTCTTTTTTATTTTGTTTGTTTAACTAGTTGTGATGGAAACAATTCCATCAGAGATTTTTTTAGAAATCTGTAGTCAATTATATGTAAAAGATCTTTATACATTAACCCTCGTATGCAGATCATATCGTAAAGTTTTATGGTCAAAAACCATTTCAATACAAAAAATTTGGACATGTTCCAGAGTACTTTCATTTGATACTTATTTACCTTATCCTACATTACCACCACCAAAATCGATGAGTGAACAAGAATATGTTTGGTTTACTATGCTGGCCGATAAATGTAGTATTTGTAAAACCAAGATTGAAAAGCAAGAGTTATTCGTTTGTAGATATTGGGAATTTGGCAGGATTTGTTGTAAGGAATGCATTGAAAAGAAAACCATCAAGTAAGGGCATTTTTTACGATTTTTCTTTCTTTTTGTAAAAAGAGGTTGGGGATCGATTATAATTCGTTTATAACAGTGTCCCATTTGTTACAATTTTTCTAAATACAAGAAAAGTCCAAAATTCTTTGCCAAAAGATTTGTTAGAATGTATGCCATATCACGAAAGGCATGTATTTAATTTAGGAGATGAAAGACTTTATTGGGCCGACGATTTGCAATCAATTCAATCAAAATATTATGCTTTTGAAAATGAACAACAGAGAGATAATTGGGTTAAAGAGAAACGAGAGGAAGTTAAAGAATTTATGAATGAAGCATTTAAATATAAATGGCAAGATCAATATAAATATTTCTTTCCTTATGCTTTTATGGTTTAAAGGTAAGAAGGTAAAGTTAGATTTTAGAATTTTTTAAATTTAGAATTTACACTTGGATAGAAATTTTTATATATAGAATTATTTATAATACAATAGACTAATTTAATTTCTTTTAATAGAGTTTAATTTATTAATAAATTAGGGTTATCTAAGATTCATTTATCAATGTTTCGTATAATTTATATGAAAATTTAAATAATGAACTTCACAATTTTAATATGAAAATAATGACGTGATCACTTTAATAAATCATCAAATATATATTTACTACATTATACGTAATATCAATTAAAAATAAGAAATTTAGCATTTGTGTAATGGTCTCGTAAGTTGTTTTTCTTTTTCAAAAGTACAGAACAATATCTATAAAGTACGACCAAAACTTGCCAGTTAAGAAGCAAATTAAAAAAAAGTAATATAATAGTTATAATAATACACAAATATGATTTCATTAATAGTATTAAAATTCTTCATCTGCAATAAATTATAATTTTTCACAATTGCTTAAGTTTTCTCTTAATTCCTCGATTTGCTTTTATAATTTTGCCTTTATTGGATCACCGTTTTCGGTATGGATGTCAGACTCACGAAGTCTATAAAGAAAAAGATATTAGAATACGAGATCTAGGTTGATATATATAATTTCAATAAAATTTACTTTGGTTCGGCTCTTGCAACAGTTGCAGTTATCAACCCTTTTATTAAAAAGGAGTTAATAAATCAAAATAAATCAGAAAGTAAAGGAAGAACAAAAAAATAAATATATTCACCTGCTGGATCACTTATAGGATAATAAACATCACATTCTTTTCCTGAATTTTTTAATCCAAATCTATCAAGATCATAAGCAAAATAATGCTTATTTGGAAGCTCATAATGGATGGAATTGATCTCATGAAATTTTTCTAAAACAATTTTAGCCATAAGATATAAAGTGGCTTGCACTGATGCACTATTATCTGTAGCAAAAGTATCTAAAGTAATTTGTCTAATTGAATTAAAAATATCGTCATAAGGGATTTGTGAAATTGAAGATACATTAGAAGTATTGAAAGTCCAAGTTGCATCTATACTTGTCGAAAGAATACGATCGTCGGTTTCCGTAAGGGTCGTATCTGTATATGGAGAAGAAAATTATCTAAGAATGTGTATATTTGAACGTTGTCAACCACAAATTATTATTATTCACATTTGTCTCTCAAGAATCCATAGAATGCCGATCCGGTAGTCTTCAATACCAACAAATCTTTAAGACCTGACTCAATTTTAACCGCCGTATTTTTTGATTCAGCTTTCTTGATCATAATGACTTTAGTGTTTCTAACATCTTCTCCATCCCTAATGAATGAATGGTCGTGTAAATTTCCATTAACTAGCATTCTTGTCCATTTGTGTTTGGTTACCCAAACATTGACTTTGGAAACGTGAGAATAAGTCGAAATAAAGTGTTGTCCAATTTCTGTGGCAAAAACTTCAATGTGTTGAACATTTGATGATTGTTTGGCAAGTATATAGACCGTGTTTTTCATTGTATCCGTCGCGATAACAAGTGAATTATCGGCTTTTGTGTAAGCGGCGGTAAAGTCGCCTTCTAAAAGTACGCGTACCTTTTTTTGAAAGAATGGAAAAGGTAGTTATAATATCCTCTAAATAGTGTTTATCCGGTCACGACTGAGTCGCGACTCGCGAGAAATAGCAATCATAAATTTTTTTTGCAATTGCAATTCGACTGAAAGTATTCGTCGGAATTAAACTTATTATACCCATTGTGACATTTTATTACCGTGAGTTCCACAATTTCTTGGAATTTTCCTGTACGGATAACCTTAACTAGTCGAATTCGATCTTTTCCATAGCTTTGTTCTTGAAGAAATACTTCAGACATGGTGGAAAGAATAAGTTATTGAAAGATTCGGAAATTCCCCCCTTTTTTAGTACGTTGATTAGTGTCCAAGGATGTTTTTACGGATCTGTCCGTCACGTGGTCAATTAATCAACACCAAAAATTGAGTCGATACGAGATAAGAGGTGTTGTATGGTATGGTTTTTCCATACCTGGTATGGTTTTAATTAAAAAATAGTAACTTAATTTAATACATTTATCAAATAGAAGAATTTAATTAATCGAATTTAAAAAATTTAAATACCTACATTCCATACAGATAATTCGACGCGAAAGAAATCTAAAAGTAAAGGCATAAAATTATATATTTCCAATATGCTTCCAAAAAAGAAAAATAATTATGCTATTTACTTAAACCAGAAGGGCTTGATTTTTTACAATATCATTTATAATTAAGTACTTTACCATTCTTTACTTGATCAGCGAAAGAATCGGTAAACGCATTTTAATTCGAACTTTAGCGATTATTTCAAACATGACGGAGGATCAAATAGATATTTCAATGGTTCGGTTGTGGGTTTATACTACTTTATTTTAAAAGTTGTTATTTCGATTTTCCTCCTGTTTTATTTCATGTTTTGACGCTTATTTAGTTTTTACCCCAAGATGTCAAAATAAATTTTTTTTTTTTTTCATTTCGTTAAATAAAATTTTTTTTTTTAATGCTAAATTATCGAGTTGAAAGAATATTGAACTGAAAGAATAGTTCAAAAATCTTTGCTACATTATGTCAAAATCGATCTAAAGATCGGCCTAAGAATCATTAAAATTGTTCAGCTGATTGACATGGAACTGCAATATTACGTTATGTTAGCACGTCCAAAAAAAAACCGTTTTGCTAGTCGTGGATTTAACAACCTTTTCAGTTTCATAAAATCATAATGTCTTCGTACCATGCTTCATATCACAGTAGACACTCATCAGACGGTGAAGGCAGGAAGCGTCATAGTAGACATTCTGACGAAGAGAAACAAGTGGAAAGAAAACACAAAAAGAAAGCTAAAAAAGAATCGAAGAAACATAAAAAAGTATATATTTGGGTCTTTCGTTATTAAAATCAAAAAAAAAAAATATGATCCGTTATAAAGCGGGTTTAATAGCAAAGCACACACATATATAAATTATAATGCTTCATATCAAATAATAAACAATTTTTTTTTAAAAACTTTTATAGGAACATAAATCAGATAAATTAGATAATTCAGATAAAATGTCATATATAGATTTGTCGATTTACTCAAATAACGACAATCCATTTAATGATGCTAACTTAGGAGAAAAGTTCGTATGGACTAAGAAGAAGGATCGCGAAAAGAAATCAGGCTTAACTCCTGAAGAGATATTTCGTCAAGAGAAACAACGTCGTGAAGAAACGCAGGTTGGTATCTTTTTATTTTTTTCTTAACATGAATTCATGCTTACAATTAGTTTGTTAACTGATTTTTTTTTAACAATTTATAGCTCGAACTTGAAAAATTGAAAAAGAGGAGAGTAGAACGTGAAGTAGAACAGCAATTGAGAGAAGAGGAGCTTGTAATTATTCTTGAATTCTTGTTTATTGATTAACATATTGTCATTGAATTTGATTTATTTTTAAATTTGCAGGCACGGATGCAACGGGAGGCCGAATTTGCATCTATGGGTGATTGGGCATCTAAAGAAGATGAAGTAAACATTTAATTTAATTGTCTAACATTCATCAAATAATTTAAATAAACCCTAAGTTTACCTCCTCTTATCATTGGCTAGTTCCATCTTGAACAAGCAAAACGCCGTGCAGAAATTCGTATCAAGGAAAATAGAGCAAAGCCAATAGATATTCTTGCCATCAATTTGCGTTTGGCCGATGAGAATGAAGATGTGGATGAAGCTTTGGAAATAGATGTGGATGAACCCTACACTATTTTTGAGAATTTGACTTTGCAAGAGGTTGAAGAATTACATCAAGATATTCAGAGATATTTAAGTCTTGAAAAAAATCCAAATAATCTTGATTTCTGGAGAGTAAGCATTATTATTACTACAAAATAACATTTAATAAACTTTATTAATAATGTGTGTATATCTATAATGTAGGCAATGATCGTGGTATGTGATGATAAACTTTCCGAGCTTCAAGCGGAAGAAAAAAATCTTACTAGTAATGTTACGGCTGTTGTCAAAGATGACATCAATAAGTTGTTGGCTGGTAAAACTTATGAACAATTAAACAAATTGCAAGCTCAGATTCAACAAAAGTTATCTGGGCAAGAAGCTGTGGAAGTTGAATATTGGGAACAGCAATTGAAAACTATAACTGTTTGGAAAGCAAAGGCTAAATTAAAGGCAATGCATGAAATTGTATTACACAAGAGATTGGAACAATTAAGGAGAAAACAGAGACAAGAAGCTATCAAAGTGCAGGAAGAATTAGAGACAGCACTTGCATCACATAATTTGCATGTTAGGATAGAAGGACGACATGAACCTCTTGATGAAGCAGTATTAGAGGAAGAAGACGATTCTTTGATCGAGGAATATGATGTGTCGATGAGTCCAAAACCTTTTGACAAATTACCAAGAGAAGACAAACAATATGACATTTTTGATCTTGAGGAAGACATGAAAGCATTGGTAAGTCAATTTTTTTTACAAAAGAGGATTGCGTAATATTTTATCAACTTTTAACCAATATTATTTTAAAGAGAGAAAAACGTAAAGAGGTTCTTCGTAACCAATTTATTCCAATGAAAATTCAACAAAAGAAACCTACTATAGAAGAGGAGGAAGATTCTGTAGTAAGTGTAATTCGAGAAATATATATATATATTTTTAATATATGTTTGTTAAAATTATTTTGATGTGATTTGATATAGGTTTCTAAAGTATTATATGAACGAGAGGCTGCCAAAGATTTAGACGAAGATGAAGCTATATTTAATATTGAGGAAGAATTAGCCAAAACGGTACTTATCAATTTATTTAAATATCAACCTAAATCAATTATTAATTATTTACTTTGTTACATTAGACATATTTATGGCAAGACAAATATCGTCCAAGGAAACCTCGATATTTTAATCGTGTTCATACAGGATATGAATGGAATAAATATAATCAGACTCATTATGATAGTGATAATCCACCTCCAAAGGTTGTTCAAGGATACAAATTCAATATATTTTATCCTGATCTGATTGATAAGTCCAAAGCTCCAACATATAAAATTGAAAGAGAACCTGGAAACAATGATACCGTCTTGATCAGATTCCTAGCTGGGCCTCCTTATGAAGTATGAATATATATATTTATTTATTTATTTATTTTTAATATTAACTTTTATATCTAATACGCAAATAAATCCATTTTTTTTTTCCTTATTCAGGATATTGCATTTCGTATTGTTAATCGTGAATGGGAATATTCTCATAAGAAAGGCTTTAAATCAAGTTTCGATCGTGGTGTTTTACAATTACATTTCCATTTTAAACGTCATTATTATCGTCGTTAAGTTATATACCTGTAAGAACATTAATAATAAATCGAGCTAAATTTCCTAAAGAAAAATTTTACTTCGGTTAAATAATAATAATTAGGGGCATAGTGGGATTAATTATACATAGACATTATTTTAATATAAAATTTGAAATTTTGATATAGATCTTTTGATAAATGTAAAGTAATAAAGAATCATTGGATTTTGTAAAAATTAAAACAAAATGAAGGAATAAAAATTTCAATATCTTAGTTTTTTTTTTAATTCCCCTTTGTTCATAAATCTATATTTGAACACAGAATTTTATTTTTTTCGGTGAAGTTATACTAGACGATATTTATTTTTTTTATTCGGTTGCACTTTTTTTTTTCATGAGGGAAAATATCTGAATATTGAGAAAATTATAAATAGAGAATGAATTTTAAACTTACTCTCCATAACCTTACCGAGCTAATTAAGTAAACCAAATGACTCTCATATCTACTGAATACAGAATAAAAAAAAAAATATTTTGTTTTACAATATATATAGATGCAAGGCATTTTATTGATATATTATTTATTTATAGAAGTTTAAACATTATATTTCTATTATGCAATATTCATGACGTGTCATAATTGACAAGTTTTAAGCAGTATCGAATATTACTGATTCATGTCGAAAGAACGATCAAACAAATGGTGTTGCTCCTTAATACAAAGGGGCGGATAAGGACGGTTGACGCAAATAATTCGTGTACTTCTACTAACATGACCGGGGCCTTCTACTTTGCTAGGTTCAGGCCCTATCTAATTACTGTGATCCCTCTGTGGATTAAAAAAAAACCATGTTACTGACTGTGTTGTGATAATGGTTTCTATTGTTATTTTTATCCAAATGTTACGTTTCGTCTGTTTCGAATGAAACTTACTTTCCTGACGACCACAGATGAACCGACTATATTATCAATAGTCGGTACCCACAGAACACACTATTGCGACAAACGGTTTGTTATTAAAAAAACAATCGCTTTTGAGGGCGGTAAACCCAACTGGAAGGAATCCACATAATTATAGGTAATCTATTAATCACGTGTCTTTAATATAACCTATATAATGATGGCTGAAATTATGTTAATTCCGGCCAGATTCGAGTCACTGTGCACACATACTCAAAAATGATTGTTTTTCAAACTTTGTTCTGGCAAATTTATTTGCATCACATAATGATCAATCATAAATTAAATCAATTACTTTTATTCATTTTCTATTTCTTTGTTAACTTCTTCAAAGATTTCTTCTGCCTGTTTTAATTCTTCTGTTCCATTCCAGGATGCGTCCTTATTTTCCTAAATAATTAACAATTATATAAAAAGTTATGATAAGATAAAATTAAAAATTAAAAGATTTAATCTTACAAGTAATTTTTGTAATTCTTTATGTGCTTCTTTAAGACGATTCTGGCAATCTGGAATCATATTTAATGATTCTTGCAATACTTCTTTCTATTTTACAGAAAAGACTTAATAAACTTTTTATTTCTTCGATAAAAAATAAAATTGTAATATCGTAACCTGTTTAGCTATAGTATGTTTATCAGTTCCATCTTCCGTTAATTTATCAATTCGTTTTTGTTGTTTTTCAGCTTCTTGACGATAATATTTTTCTTCTTTAAAGAGACTTTTTGATTTAATTAAAATATCATTTGTTAATAAAGAAACTCAAAAATTGTTAAATTTTTCGATGAACAAAGACAAACCGTTTAACGACTCCAGTCTTTATCTTGAGTTCGCGAAGAGTGACTGACATTGTTTAAAGAAAAATATGGTTTTTAAAATAGAAAATAGAATTTATTGAACCTTATCGTTATCAATGCAGATACATGTACAATGAGCATCTAAATTAAGTAATTTAACGGAATATCAAATGCTTTATTTTCATTGAAACGATCACTATTCTTCTTGTATTACATACTATATTAAGTTATTTATATTAATTAATATTATTTAATTGATTTATTTAAACTAGAAAAAAAAATAAATATTGTTGTAATTTAAATTAAACAGACATCTTAATATGAAAATAATAATCTAAAAAGAGTTCACTTAAAACTTAATAATTTAAATTTACTTGTATTAGATAGTAACTGTAAATTAAAATTAACATTTTAGCTAAAAATTTATAGTTATTTATCATTTTTTAACTTTCTTTTTTTTAAAAATTAATTTTAGTTTAGTATTGAAGGGTTTTTGTTTTAATTAGAAAGTGCAAATAAAATAAATATAAAGTTTTAGCAATAATTATGCTTTATTTTATTTTAATTCAAAGGAATTAATAGACTAAAAAAGATGATGTAGTATTGAATAATTTTTATTTGTATTTCTTATTAAAAGATTAGCTATTAATAATGATTAGTCAACTTAAATAACCTTGAAATAGAATCAAAAAAAGTAGTTATAATTTTTATTTAATTTTCTTATTGTATTTTTTAAATGCTTTATAACTATAAAATTATTTTAATAAAATTATAATAGTATTACATCATTAAGGTATAAAAAAAAGTAATAATTATAAAATAATAGTAATTAAAAATAATTTATAATTATATAACAAAAATTTAGTAATATTTACTATTATATCTAATTCTTTTAAAATTTTAGTATTCTATTTTATATTATTATATAAATTATAATAAAACCTTACTTTCTATATTTTATAATCTAGTCATAAAGTTTCTTCTCAGTTTTTGAATAAAAGATTCTTTATTTAGAATTAAATTACTTATTTTTTTCTTTTATTTAATTATCTATTTTCAACTTACTACTATTTAATATCTTATTATACTATAATTGAAGTTAAAATATTCTACTATCTTATTGTATTTATTTTTTTTTTTATATAAATAATAATTTATATTTTGTATAATAATATAATACAAAATTCATTTATGTTTATTAGTATTTTTGATTTTATGTTTATAATTTTTTTCTTCTAGATTTGTGAAATTTATATAAAAATAAATACTTAGTTTAATTAAAATTTATTTAATTTTATGTAATAAATTGACAATTAATATAATTAATTATCACAGATTTTGAGATGTTAAATTATAAGATTTTTGAAATTAAAGTTTATGCAATATATTAAATACCTAAAATAAGCAATAATATATCAAAATATATTACTTATTTTGAAAATAATATATTATTTTTATATAAAAAGTTAATTTTTTTTTTTTTATTATAATGAGTTTTTATTTTAAGAATAAATTTTTTTGAAAATTTTTAAAAAAATCTGTTATTTAATTTTTTAATAATTGTCTTTTATAATGTAATTTAAGTTTATATATATAAATAATTTTATTAATAAAGCAACAACTTTTAGATATAATATTTAAATAATTTTTTAATATAATTAAAATTTTAAATTATACATTTATTTTATTACTAATCAAAATCAAAAAATCAAACATGCAAAAAATTGATCTAAAATTGACAAATTATTAAAAATCATCTTGTCAATTAGTATACATTAAGAATCAACCAAAAATTTAATCTATCTTATTTATAGTTAATTGATATCTAATTGGAATGATTGTATTATTCTAAAGAATAATAACTAAAAAATTATATAATTAAAATGATTATATTATTTTAATTAAATTATAATCAAAAAATTATTTAATTAAAATGATTGTATCATTCTAATTGAATAAAATACATAAATTGTTTAGTTAAAATAATTATTTTTATTATTTTTAAGAAATATTATTATTATCATTCTAAAGAAATAATTTTTAAAAAATAATATTTTTATTATTCTAAAGAAATAATTTTTTTATTATTTCTAAGAAATAATAATATTATTATTTTAAAAGAATAAATTTTATCATTTTTAAGAAATAATGGTATTATTATGTTAAAGAAACAATTTTTTATCATTCTTAAGAAATAATATCAACTTTACTATTAGTATTAGTAATCCATTTTTCAGTATTATTATCATTTCAAAGAAATGATATTTTTATCATTTCTAATAAATAATATATTTATTGTTTTTTAAGAATGATATTATTATTCTTTATTATTTTAATTGAACAATTCCTTTATTATTTGTTTGGAATAATATATTTTTATTTCAATCAAATGATTTTCTTATTATTTAATTGAAATAATAATTTAATTATTATAAAAGAATAATTTTTTAACTTTTATTTGATTAGATTAATGTATTATTATTCTAGTAAACCAAACTTTTAGATTAAACAAATTTGCTAAAATAATATTGAATATTTGGAGAATTTGCTGAATTAAAAGAATAATTTTATTAATATTAATTTATTGTACTATTTAAGTTTATTTCTAATATATATAGGAATATTTATATACAATTAGAACTCAATATAGCAATCCACAATAAACCAATTTTAGCCCATAATAAACTTTATTCTTAAACCAAAATCACTTATAATAAAATTTACTACTATATAGTGATTTTATTATAAATTTTGTAATATTACATATACTGAACTCTGATTATAAATTAGCTATAATTATTTATTTACAATAAATTGATAATGATTTTTTTCTCATTATGCTGATGGTTATTATAAAAAAATAGTTTTTTTCTTGATTTAACAATTGATCATTATTATTATAAAATTTTATTTTAATATATCAAAATTATACTAATATAGTAAATATCAAATGTTAAATAAATTAATATAAATATAAATTGAAAAATTTTATTTTTTCTATTAATCATCTTTTACTATGTCTTCTAAAATAAAAGTAATACATTTTTTATAAGACAAAAGCAAAAACTTTGTCTCAAAAAATAAACAATCAGAATCTTTAATCTAATTATATAGATGAGTTTATTAGTTTTGATTAGATATTTTTTTGTTCCCAAATTTACAAATAAAAAATAGTATAGCATACAACATGCAAATAATAAATAATAAACAAATAATAACTACATTGCATTTATTGCAAAAATTTGATATAATGAACTTTTATATTTTTTATTATTTAAATCAATATATCAAGAAAAACTTGTTATTCTGAATTTTTATTATAATGAATCAAAATTATCAAACCAAAAGGTTTGTTATATTGAGTTCTAATTGTAAATAAGCTTAATTTTTTTACTTTTTAAAATAATTTTAACTCAAACTTTATTTTTATTTAATCATTTCCAAATTTCTCTTTTTATATACTATTAAAATACAAAAAAATCATTTTAAGAATAAAAAGAACTTAAGTTTAATTTAAACAACTTTTCAAATAATAAACTTACTTTTTATAATATAAATATGTCTCTAACTATCAAAATCAAATAAAACTTAAGTTAAATTTTATTAATTAACCAATTAACTTTTTAAATAATGAACTGATTTTTTACTTCTATAATAGAAAAAATAATTTCAAGTGATTTGTTAGAAAAAGATAGATTTTTTTATCTTTTATTATTAGTTTAGAATAAAGTATAGTATTATATATAATGAAAAATATTCTAATACAGTCAACACTCAATATAATAAAGTAAGTATCTAAGCCAATTAGGTTTTCATTATAAGAAAATTCGTTAACATAATATTATATAATTTTGTATAATAAAATAAAAATACATTTTATGATTATCTTAACATCTAGTAATTGAAATTTTATGAATTTGGTATTATTAGAATCGTCTCATTGAGAAGATTTGAATGATATATATTTCATATCTGTAACTTTAATATTAATAGAGTTATTTCATACTGAATATTTAAAGATATTTTGATTGATCATAGCATACAATTATTAGATTTTTATGATTTTAGTATTATTAGATTCACTTTATTAAGTGGATTCAAATAGTAGATATTTTATATCTATAGCATTAATATTGACAGATATATTTCATACTAAATATTTAAAGATATTTTGATTGATCTAAGCATCTAGTGATTAGATATTTATGATTTTAGTATTATTAGATTCAGCTCATTAAAAATTCAAATAGTATATATATCATATCTGTAGCATTAATATTGACTGAATTATTGCAATTTGAAATTAAATTAATTTTATAATATAATTAACTAATTAACTGATTAACCAATAGAAATTGAATTATAAAATTATGTGCTTCGTTATAGTAAAAAAAAATTTATTATAAGAAAAATTTGTTATATTAAGAGTTATTTTTATATATATTATTTAAGAACTCAACTTTACATAAGGTTATAGCAAATATAATTAGTAAAATTTGCTATATCAAAAATTTTTTCATATATTAAAATCTGTTTTATACTAAAAATTTGCTATATTAAATAATTTATTATATTAAAATTCATTATATCAAGTGTTAACTGTATTGGTTGTATAATAATTGAGTTGATGCTAATTAGCTTTTGTAATTGTATAAAATCCTAGATAAAGCAAATATTAATATAAATTTTTTTAGTTAAGATCATTTTAAATTTAACAACAGTTTTTATTTCTTTAATTTTATTTATTATTTTTTTATATTTTTAGACAATTTTGAAAGATTTTTAAAAGAATAATAAATCATATTTTTATTATTTTTTTTTTTTTTTTTCAAAAATAATAATATTATGATAATGAATATTTAAGATGATTTAAAGGATTTTAGGATGAAAATAGATTATATTTTTATTATTTTATTATTTATTTCAAATAATTTTTTCATTTTTTATTTATATTTTTTAAATAGAAAATTAAACAATAGATTTAGTAATATTTTTATTATGTTTTTGCAAATTATATTAGATTTTTATTATTAATAAAATTTTAATATTTAAT